CTACATACATACACATGTATATGCATATTTATATGTGTGTGTGTGTGTGTGTCTGCGTGTGTGTGTGTGTCTGTGCGTATGTGTATGTGTGTGTGTGTGTCTGTGCGTGTGTGTATGTGTGTGTGTGTGTATGTGTGTGCATGTTTGTGTGCGTACGTGCGTTTGTGTATGTGTGTGTGTGTGTGTATGTATGTGTGTGAGAGAGAGAGAGAGAGTATGAGAGAGAGAGAGAGAGGGGGGGGGGAGACAGAGAGAGAGGGAGAGAGAGAGAGAGAGAGAGAGAGAGAGAGAGAGAGAGACAGAGATAGATAAACAGATCGGTAGATAGACAGATAGGTAGCTATATATATACATATGTATGTATATGTGTTTATATATGTATATCTATGTATATATATATATATATATATATATATATATATATATATATACATATAGATAGATAGATAGATAGATAGATAGATAGATATATAGATAGATAGATAGATACTAAGCAAAAATATCTGTAAATGAAACAATGTACTGAATTGTTCTCTTTGAATTGTTCACACACGGAGGGACTTAATAACATTTTGCGGCCAAGACTGAAACTGTTCACAAAATATAAAATATAACTCACTCTAGTTAAAGTTCCCGTTCGCACTTACGGACCCGCTGATGCAACCATACGTATATATCGTTCTCATACGCAATTTCACTTAACACTCCGATTGTCTGCAAAAAAAAAAATGACAACAGACACTGAGGTGTAACAATGGATACATTTAATAGTTTAACACGTGTCTAAAAAGAAACCTCGGGAAACAACAACAATCGTCAAGAAAAACAACAGAATTTTGGGGGACATGATAGCAGTCTGGATGACCGGACAATTTGGCTAGTTGGAGTTCGGATAATTGGGAGTTTTACTGTGTATATATATATATATATATATATATATATATATATATATATATATATATATATATATATATATATATATATATATATAAATGTATATATACATATATATATGAGTGTATGTATGTATGTATATATATACATCACACACACACACACACACACACACACACACACGTATATATATGATATCTCGTGGGATCCTGTCTGCCTCATACTCCACTTAAAATTTTCATATCTGTTGGCGGCTAGACCATATCTGTTTTTGATCTTTTATCACTTCTTCATCGTATGGTATGTATGTACAAATGCATTTATAACAAATACATTCAGTAAATACTGAAACATTCGCTACAAAAAAAACACGCACAGATTAAATCATAACGACCATGCTGCTCATTTTCTGGCTCAATCTCTAGCTGAAAGCCCTCATCTGACTTATATTCGACCGATACTCTTTACAGTGCATTTACTCCCGACAAAGCATGGACCTATGATAGCTAAAGTAAAGGATGGGAGAGCAGGTGGATATTTTGGTAATTGGGACTTCTCCTGGAGAATAAAACCAAGTCTGTGGTTTGCGTTGCGTTCCAAGTGATGAGAGTGATTTCCTTTCAAATGAATAAAAGGTAAAGGGATATTGTATCTCTTTTTCTCATATGTATGCATGTATGTGCAGTTTATTTCAACTGTCTTTCCCTTCTTCAGGTATACCAACGAGGGTGTTCCAGTGGAGGTCATGCTCCTTGACCTGCAGCTGGTCCGCCACGCCTCGCTCGCCACCGACCTCAACTACCTGCTCCACGCCAGCCTCAAAGGGCAGACGAGGAGGGACAACCTCTCATCATTCTTGGCGGCTTATTACCAACGCTTCAGTCAGGTCCTGGCGGCTGGTGGCTGCGCGGTGCCCTTCTCTCTCCAGGATCTCACGCAGGAGTATTAGATTCACCTTACCTATGGACTGATAATGATTTTATTGGGTGTGCTTTTCGGTCTGGGTGGGGAAGCGGACTCCTTCCGTACATTAATTATCCTTCTACTACTTTGATATACATTTTAAGATTATTTAATAAAATCCTTCGTTGTTTTCTAATTTGTAGGATATGCCTTCTTTGTTAATTAAAGTGACAATTATTTACCACAAAACCGCAAAAGTAGATATTATTAGACAAAAAGCAAATGACTAAAAGTTAACAGATGGAAATCAAATCACCAACTTAAACCTATCCAGTATATACAAAAAAAATCCACATAATGAAAATTCTAAACACGTACATTACTTAATAAGCCCAAGAATATAAGACTGGGTTACATAATAAGCCCAAGAATATAAGACTGGGTATGTGTAACCGAATTACAGGACAGCTATAAAAGTTAAACCTTTGATACACTGTCTCATACCACTAGCATTCGTTTCATATATACCTATAAAATGAGACGTGCATGTGACCGGGGATGGGGTAGTAGTTAACACACTAAAGACCTAATTTCACTCGCAGTCCTTTAGTTCAAGTATTCGTACATTGCAGAGAAACATCACCATGACACATAAGCATTATCAATCAAGGTCAACATGTGTGACGTCATGTCTGTCAGACGA